TATATATGTCAGATTAAACCATGATTCTTTTCGACCATCTATCTGAACCCGGATACTCATGTCTATTCATACTTGTGAATAATCTAACAAGAGCATAAATTTAAAACAAAAACGGTTGTCCCGCCCTCTATAAGGGCGGGTCAAAATCTAGTATAGATTAAGAAAAAAAAAATATTATACATTTATCTTAGTTACATAAAAACGTCATTATATAAGTCTAATTTAATCAATAAAATGTAATATTTTATAGTTAGTCACAAATCTCAAACCACATTAAATATTTGTCTAAAATAAATGGAGCATAGTTTATTATGAAATAAAATTAAGATTTTCAAATATCAAGTAAATTAAAACAGAGGAAATAATAAAAAACAACTTATGCAATGACAACTGGTTTGTTGCTTCGTTAATTCCAGATAAGTTATACATATAATGCCATAACACAATAATAGAAGATAATCATGGTAAATCCACAAACAATTATGTTTCTCAAGCTTCGAACCTCAATGATGAAATCTTTAAACTTTTTCTCAGAACCATAGACGGTTGTTCTCATTTCTTCAATCTCTTTCTCAAATTGAACAATGACATCATTTGTTTCTTTTATCTTCTTCATGTGGCTATCTTTCATATCTTCAATTTCTTCGATAACTGCTTCATCTGTCCATTTAAGCAAATGATTTTTCTCCTTTTTAATTCCATTTGGACAACAATGGAAAAGCCTTCCTGGATTTTCATAGGTTTTTGAAGTTCTAATCAAAGAAGCTTCTCCGCATCTGCAAGTTTTCGGCATGCCTCTCTCCCTTTCATCATCATGATCTTTCCCTTTTGAACCCATTCTTGCACCAATTTCACAACCGAGTTCAATTTCAAGAAGTGTAAATAACCATTCTAGATGTAGACAACCCAAAAAGGATTTCAAATGCATAAACAGAGCACAATCCATCAATTGAGCACATCATTTATAAATTTACATACCAGGAGCTGAAGAGGAAATGTGACTCAATGAGGAAGGTATTCCAACCGTTGTGTTCGCCTTCGAGTTTTTGTGAATGAGACAAAAAAAGATTATTTAATTTGTTTTTCACACTAAAATACGTCTATAAGATTTCGTTATCTATACTATTAAAGCACAATCCCTACAAAGATTCTGCCATTACTTTTTCAAATTATTTACATTACTATGCCATTGACATTTAATTTTAATATCTATATTATTCTTTTAAACTAAACAACCGAATTTTTCCTACATTTTTGGTAATTAATACTATCCATAATTTTTAATTCTAATTTATGTAAATAATACATTTCATTTAAATTTGAATATTATTTTTCTAGCTTAGAATTATTTAACAATAAAATTCGAATATATATATATATATATATATATATATATATATATGAAAATTAAAAATACTATTTACCATGTCATTTTTAAATTTTGAACCTTCAAAAATATTTTAAAATTTATTATAAAATTAAATTTTACATCTAAAAGAAAAAAAATCACTTTCATAAGTTACTAAAAACGAAAAAACTAATATTGTCATATCATTTACTTTTCTATTATCATTATTTCCTTTTTTTCAATTGACTTAATAAAAATTCATCAAAGTATAAGATATTATAAACTTTCAGCCTTAGATAATATTAAAACTAGAGTTTCACCAGCACATCCGTACGGGTATGTTTTTCATTTTATAAAGATATAACTAAAAATTTAAATATATGATTTATATTTTAGTTTTAATTATAATTATATCTAATAACGAAATAAAGAAATAATTATTTTATAAAAAATATTAAAATTTTTTGGTAAGATCTTGTTAGATTTTTTCAACAGATCTTATTAATATCTTTATTAATTATCAAGATATTTTGAAAATAATATATCTTTGACTGGTTAATGTAACAATCAAATATGTCAAATTAAATAATTCAATTAATAACATGAGCCAACATAACTTCTAAATACTAGATAAATTTGATACTTCTCTTTTAATAGAGAAGATGTATGAGTTATCTAATCAAAAATATCAAAAATATTATATTTTTTTGTTTTTAGTGAATCATCAGATATCAAATCACAGGTTAATAGCACGTTTTGGATTTTACAAGGTTTTATCTAATTTTTAACCAAC